TATGTCAGCCGATGGTGCCTCCAGTTGGATGGCTGGGGCCCTGAGCTCCAAGGAGGCCTTGCTTGTTGGGATCTTCACCTCAGGTGCTGAGATGCTGAGGTCAGTGGGGGTGACATCAACCTTGGGTGCGCTGAGGTCCACGTCGACTTTGGGGCCTTTGACTTCTGGTTTGGAGAATCCCATGCTGGGCATCTTGAATTTTGGCATGTGCATCTTCATCCCGCCTCCCTCGATTCTGCCTTCCGCTTCGGGCACCTTGTGTGAGACTTCTCCTTCTGGCAGTTCGGCTTCAACTTTGGGAAGGGACAATTCTCCCTCGACTTTCGAGAGGGTGATTCCTACTCGGGGGGCCTTTATTTTGGGCATCTTGACATCAGGCATTTCCATTTTTCCCTTCTCCGTGACTTCCACTGCTATGTTCGGGCCTTCAATGTGGGGTCTGGGTACTTTTATGCCCGTCTCGACAGATGGCACTGTCACTTTGCCTTTCAGTTCTGCTTTGGGGATCTGCACATCTATGAGGTACGGTGATATCCCCGTCGACAGTGGCTGTTCCTTTGGGAAGGGAAATGCCAAACGTGGGCATCTGGAACTTAGGCATTTTGAACTTCCCATCCACACCGTGAAGCATGGCCTCGCCACTCTTTACAGGTATCTCAGCTGATGGTGCCTCCAGTTGGAAGTCTGGGGCCTTGAGTTCCAAGGAGGCCTGGCCTGCAGGGATCTTCACCTCAGGTGCTGAGACGCTGATGTCGGCCGCAAGCTCTCCCGTTTTCAATTCAGGTTTGGAGATGCTGAGGTCAGTGGATGGAAGGCTGACTTCAGGCTTGGGTACGCTGAGATCCACGTCGACTTTGGGGCCTTTGACTTCTGGTTTGGAGAAGCCCATGCTGGGCATCTTGAATTTTGGCATGTGCATCTTCATCCCACCTCCCTCAATTCTGCCTTCTGCTTCGGGCACTTTGACAGAGACTTCTCCTTCTGGCAGTTCAGCTTCAAGTTTGGGAAGGGAGATGTCTCCCTCGACTTTAGATAGGGTGACACCCACCTGGGGCCCCTTTATTTTGGGCATCTTGACACTCGGCATCTTGACATCTGGCATTTTCATTTTGCCCTTCTCACCGACCTCCACTTCCACACTCGGGCCTTCAATGTGGGGACCTGATACCTTTATGCTCGTCTTGACGGATGGCACTGTCACTTCACCTTCCAGTTCTGTTTTGGGGACCTCCGCCTCTACAGAAGGTACGGTGATATCCCCCTCGACAGCGGCTTTGCCTATTGGAAGGGAAATGCCAAACTTGGGCATCTGGAACTTAGGCATTCTGAACTTCCCATCCACACCCTCAAGCTTGCCCTCAGTGCCCTCCACACCTATGTCAACCGAGGGTGCGTCCAATTGGAAGCCTGGGGCCTTGAGCTCCAAGGAGGCCTGGCCTGTTGGGATCTTCACTTCAGGTCCTGAGACGCTGATGCCGGCTACAAGCTCTCCTGTTTTCAATTCAGGTTTGGAGATGCTGAGGTCAGCGGATGGAGGGGTGACATCAACCTTGGGTGCGCTGAGGTCCACGTCGACTTTGGGGCCTTTGACTTCTGGTTTGGAGAATCCCATGCTGGGCATCTTGAATTTTGGCATGTGTAACTTCATCCCACCTCCCTCAATGCTGCCTTCTGCTTCGGGCACCTTGACAGAGACTTCTCCTTCTGGTAGTTCGGCTTCAAGTTTGGGAAGGGATACATCTCCCTCGACTCTCGGCATGGTGACACCCACCTGGGGCCCCCTTATTTTGGGCATCTTGACACTCGGCATCTGGACATCTGGCATTTTAATTTTGCCCGTCTCACCGACCTCCACCTTCACACTCGGGCCTTCAATGTGGGGTCTGGTTACTTTTATGCCTGTCTCGATGGATGGCACTGTCACTTCGCCTTTCAGTTCTGCTTTGGGGATCTGCACGTCTATAGAAGGTACGGTGATATCCCCGTCGACAGTGGCTGTCCCTTTGGGAAGGGAAATGCCAAACGTGGGCATCTGGAACTTAGGCATTTTGAACTTCCCATCCACACCGTGAAGCATGGCCTCACCGCTCTTCACAGGTATCTCAGCCGATGGTGCCTCCAGGTGGAAGTCTGGGGCCCTGAATTCCAAGGAGGCCTGGCCAGCAGGGATATTCACCTCAGGTCCGGAGACGCTGATGTCAGCCGCAAGCTCTCCTGTTCTCAATTCAGGTTTGGAGATGCTGAGGTCAGTGGATGGAAGGCTGACTTCAGGCTTGGGTACGCTGAGATCCACATCAACTTTGGGGCCTTTGACGTCTGGTTTGGAAAAGCCCATGCTGGGCATCTTGAATTTTGGCATGTGTAACTTCATCCCACCTCCCTCAATTCTGCCTTCTGCTTCGGGCACTTTGACAGAGACTTCTCCTTCTGGGAGTTCGGCTTCAGCTTTAGCAAGGGACACGTCTCCCTCGACTTTCGATAGGGTGACGCCCACCTGGGGGCCCTTTATTTTGGGCCTCTTCACACTCGGCATCTTGACATCTGGCATTTTCATTTTGCCCATCTCACCGACCTCCACTTCCACACTCGAGTCTTCAATGTGGGGTCGCGTTACCTTTATGCCCGTCTCGACGGATGGCACCGTTACTTCGCCTTTCAGTTCTGCTTTGGGGATCTGCACGTCTACGGAAGGTACAGTGATATCCCCATCGACAGCGGCTTTGCCTTTTGGAAGGGAAATGCCAAATTTTGGCATCTGGAATTTAGGCATTTTGAACTTCCTGTCCATGCCCTCAAGCTTGCCCTCAGTGCCCTCCACGCCTATGTCAACCGAGGGTGCCTCCAGTTGGAAGTCTACGGCCTTGAGCTCCAAGGAGGCCTGTCCTGTCGGGAACTTCACCTCAGGGCCAGAGATGCTGATGTCGGCTGCAAGCTCTCCCGTTTTTAATTCAGGTTTGGAGATGCTGAGGTCAGTGGATGGAAGGGTGACGTCAGGCTTGGGTGCACTGAGGTCAACATCAACTTTGGGGCCTTTGACTTCTGGTTTGGAGAAGCCCATGCTGGGCATCTTGAATTTTGGCATGTACATCTTCATCCCACCTCCCTCGATGCTGCCTTCCGCTTCTGGCATCTTGACAGATACTTCACCTTCTGGCACTTCGACTTCAACTTTGGGAAGGGACCTGTCTCTCTCGACCTTTGGCAGGGTGACACCCACCTGGGGCCCCTTTATTTTGGGCATCTTAACATCTGGCATTTTCATTTTGTCCTTTCCACCGACCTCCACTTCCATGCTTGGGCCTTCAATGTGTGGTCCTGATGTCTTCATGCCCATCTCGACGGATCGCACTGTCACCTCGCCTTTGAGTTCTGTTTTGGGAACTTCCGTCTCTATGGAAGGTATGGTGATTTCTCCCTCAACAGCGGCTTTCCCTTTGGGGAGGGAAATGCCAAACTTTGGCATCTGGAACTTATGCATTTTGATCTTTATATCTCCACCTTCTAGTTTTGCCTCACTGCCATGAAGAGTCATCTCAGTGGATGGTACGTCAATCTGAAGGTCTGGGGCCCTGAGATCTGAGACCAACCCTGTTGTGATATTAGCTTCATGAGGTGGTGGTGTGATTTTAACCTCTTGTTTCACTTGATACGTTAATCCTGTTGCGCCATCCTTAACATCTATTTGCATTTCTCTTTGCTCATAATCCCCTGTTGTTTTGCTTTGTATTTTTTCCATAGATCCCCTGTGTTTCTTTTTTCGAATCTTTGGAAATGACGGCTGCTTTGTCGGTGAATCTTTTATTTCTATTGCAGAAGGTGGTATCTGCGATGTTACAATCGTAGACTCTGGTTTCGTTGTTCCTCTTGATTTCTGTTTCTTCTCCTTTGGTTTTTTAATAGTGATTTCAACTTCGGGGCACTTTTTTGTGTGAGAAGTCAGTTCCTGTTCTGGTGTTGTGGTATCTTTTTTTGCCTCATAGTGTTCTTTTGTCTTGTTATCCTGTGCCCAAGAGGTGGAATCGTCTACTGTTATGATCTCTGAGGGGTCCTCTGTGGTACCATATTGATACTCTGTGAATACTTTTTCTTCCAATTTAGACTTCTCTTCTGTTTCTTGCTTACTTCTGTATATCTTGAATCCAATGCTCGGGAATTTTAATTTCCTTTGGCTTCCTTTTTTAACCTTAGCATGCATTTCTTCTGGTGGGAATTCAGTGTCGGTGCTTGTTGGGGAGACATCTGGAATAGCAGGCTCATATGCATCTGATGTGCTACGAGATCGTCTTTGTCCCAGCATCTTTTTCCCTTTGATTGATTGGAATTTCGGCCAGGAGAGTCTGTCCTTCTTTGGTCGTTTTTGTCTTCCCACTCTTTGTTTTACAATCAAATTGGCTTTGTCTTCTTCTGTGGTAGTCTTTTCGGATACTTCCAATGTTTCCTTTCCCTGGAAGAGAGAGAAGTTTTAATATCAGCTCCAGGAAATGTTTATACAGTATCACATGCTGCGATTCATAATGCTTTCTCCGCAACTGTCTTTCCCCCCAGGACCCTATGTGCAAGGCTTCTAGTATCTACTCTAAGTTGTAAGGCAGAAATATAAAGGGATAGAAAGGTGGTCAAGGTTGCTACTTGTGGAAGTGGCTTTAGCCTTTGAATTACACACACACTTCTCGTTTTGGGTTGATTAAGTGAAACGATTATTTCCCGCACCTCTTTTTTAATGTGTTTCGGGTTTCTATTCAATGATGATCCAGACACAGGGATCTTGCTTACAGATGCCTTTAAATTACATTCGATTACTTTATTATCATTCCGTCTACAAAAGAATTATTCTCAGCTTCATTTGGAACGAAGAGGCAGAATCACTCCATTTTTTTGAGCCACTGTTTCTAGAAGACTAGTAGCACTTCCACACATGCTGAATAGTGCACCTCCAGTTCACTTCCAATGCACTTTACAACTGAATTTTACTGTGTGAAATGGCAAATGGGGCAAGGGATGCTCTGTATTCTGGGTGCTTGGGGGGGCAACAGTGGGAGGGCTTCTGGTATCCTAGCCCCACTGCTGGACCTCCTGATGGCACCTGGCAGGATTTTTTTGTAGAAAAAGTCCAGCAGGAACTCATTAGCATAATAGGCCACACTCAGAAGCAGAAACTCATTAGCATATTAGGCCACACCCCTGACTGCACCGCTCATTAGCATATTAAGCTGCATTCCCATGTTGCTAGAAGTGTGGTGATCCAGCCACACCCACCTTTTGCTTCTTATTCTGTTTATCTTGTTTGTTGTCAAAACCCAGGGCTTTTTTTGTAGCAGGAACTCCTTTGCATGTTAGGCCACACACCCCTAATATAGCCAATCCTAATGAGTTTCTGCTGTTGGATGTGGCCTATTATACTAATGAGTTCCTGCTGGGTGTGGCCAACTTGGGAGCCAGCCGGAACTCCGTTCCTGT